CTGCTACTACATCAAATTTAAGATTCATCAGAAAATATTATCAAAAGTAGATTGAAAATGACGCGAAAATATTCAAAATAAAATTAGTGCATATTTAGAAAAAAATAAGAGAATGTTGTCACAAAAATCAAAATGATACGTATATATTTGTGACATTATTTTTTGTAAAAAAAAACTAAATTTGTATTATATATATATCTTTTATAAAGATGTGTGCGTTGTAGTGTAATCATGTAAAATTTAATAATACTATCGTCTATTTAGCCAAATGAAGAATTTAATTGAAATCTCGAAGATTGTCACCAAAAAGAAAGTTCGTAAAATAGAAATTTTTGACGACCATTCTTTGAAGCATAAAAGTAGCAAGTTTAACGAGTTTTATGAGGCACTACAAGCCAACAAATTTAAAAATGACCGCGATGCAGCAGCATTCTTATATGCGTGTAGCCCTACCGATGACAAATATCGCCAGCTCAAATCGCGTTTCCGCAAGCGTTTGTTGAATACATTGTTTTTTTTAGATGTCAATTTGCCCTCTACCTCCAATTATGACCGCGCTTATTATTCGTGTAATAAAGATTGGACGCTGGTCAAAATTTTGCTTTCTAATGCAGCAGATTTCACAGCAGCTACTTTGGCACAACAAATTTTGACAACAGCACTAAAATTTAAGTTTGCAGATATTATCGTTAATTGTGCTCGTATTTTACGAAAGTATAATGCAGATATTGATAATGAACGAGAATATGAAGTTTGTGACCAATACATAAAACAATATTCCAATATATTAGATGCTGAAATTCGCTCAGAAGAGCTTTATCAACGAGTGATTACAAATTATTTTAAGCCGACTGCAAAAAATGATGGTTTGGTTGAACGCATTGACACATATTGCGATGCACTCGTAGGTTTGTCAGAAATGTATGATTCGCCAGTCATTATTTATAATATGTATTTGGTGTGGACGTATCGCTACGAAATGTTGCATGATTATGAAGCAATGCTCGAAGTGTGTACAAAAGCAGAAAAATATATCGAAGACAATCCTTTATTTTATCAAGATGATAAGTTGGTGACGTTCCAAATTAAGAAAATGTCGGCTTATTTGCATTTGCGCAACTACAAAAAAGGCAAAATTAATGCAGAAAAAAGCCTACAAAGTTTTGCAGAAGGTAGCGAAACATGGTATAATTTTATGGAGTATTATTTGTTATTAGCAATTCATACCGAAAATTATATCAATGCGATGGCGATTTTTAATAAAGCTGTTGGAAATTCTAAATTTAGGCGTTTGCCTCAAATTATGCGCGAAAAATGGAATGTTTATGACGTTTATCTCAATTATATCACCGAATCGTTGGGTACTGACAATCCTATTTTGGGGGCGCAAAAACGAAGAACATTTAAATTGACTCGTTTTTTAAACGACCCTATTTTATATCCGAAAGACCAACGCATTTTTACAGTGCATCTGGTGGTGGCTCAGATTCTGTTTTTGTTAGAAAAGAAAAATTATAATGCTGTCACAGAACGGGTTGAGCGGCTTAAAAACTATGCCAATCGTCAATTAAAAAAGGAAGAATATTTTCGTACTATACAATTTATTCGTTTGCTTCAGCACTTAGTTAAATCCGAATATAATACTGCTAATTTTGGAAACATCGAAAAATATTACACCCGCTTGGTTCAATATCCTTTTTTCTATCGCGGTTTGATTTCTGAATTGGAAATAATACCTTACGAGAAACTCTGGGATATGATTGTGAAAAGACTAAAATGAGTGGCAAGTTATGAATTATGAAATCAACATTTTATGCACGTTTTCTGAAAAAAAATCTGAAAATATCAGATAAAATATAAAAAATGTTGCATAAAAAAATATAAATTTTTATCTTTGCACCCGTTTTTAACAGAAGTTGCGATTAAAACAACTTTCATTGTTTAATTTATTCAAAATCAATTTATTACTTCGCATGAGAAATTATGAAGTAACCTTCATCGTACAACCAGTGCTGTCGGGCGATGGAGCAAAAGCGGCAGCCAACAACTACGCTGATATGATTGCAGCCAGTGGCGGTACTGTGGTTCATTTAGAAGAAACAGGTCTGCGCGAATTGGCTTATTCTATCGGAAAATATGCTTCGGGTGTGTATTACACCATCGAATTTATGGCATCAGATGGTGCATTAATTGATAAGATGGAGCTGGCGATGCGCCGAGATGAGCGTTTATTGCGCTATTTAACAGTTCATTTGGACAAGTACGGCGTGAAATACAATCAAGATAAACGAGATGGTAAAATCGGTAAGAAAAATCGCGAACGTATTGCTCGAAAAAAAGCAGAAGATGACGAAGAATTGTTGTAATTATCGTATTGTTTTATAAAAAATATTTGCTCAATTTATCATTCATTTAATATAAAAATGGCTACTAATAAAGAGGATATAAAATTTTTAAGCAACCCAAATATTGGCCAAAACCGCAAAAAATATTGTCGTTTTACCAAATTTGGCATCAGACATATTGATTATAAAGATGCCGACTTTTTGCTTCAATTTATCAACGAGCAAGGTAAAATTTTACCGCGTCGCATTACTGGCAATTCGCTAAAATACCAGCGCAAAGTGTCCGTTGCTATCAAACGTGCGCGTCATTTGGCTGTTCTGCCTTATGTTGCAGATTTGATGAAATAATTATCTATTTTCAATTATTAATTATTATTTACAATGAATATTATTCTCTTACAAGATATAGATAAAGTAGGAAACAAGCACGATATCGTAAAGGTGCGCGATGGTTATGGTCGCAATTTCCTTATTCCCAAAGGGTTAGGTATTGTCGCTAATGATACAAATAGCCGAAAGCTCGGTGAAATGAAGCGTCAAATAGATGCCAAAGAAAACAAATTGGTCGAAGAGCACAAGGCACTCGCTTCTAAATTGACCGCAGCAACGCTTAGCATTGGTGCAAAAGCGGGCACCAGCGGTCGTCTTTTTGGTAGTGTGACTAATGTGCAACTCGCTGATGCTATTAAAGACCAGCTCGGGCTCGAAATTGAACGCAAAAAAATTGTTATACCTGAAGATGTCAAAGATTTGGGTACTTATACGGCTGTTGTTAATTTGAGTAAATTCGTTACTGCCAATCTTAAATTTGATGTAGTAGCAGAATAGTCTTTTTTTTAAAAAATAGCTCGATGTTAGAAAAAGGTTTAGCCAATTGTGTTTGGTTAAACCTTTTTTATAAAAAGTTGATTTTAAATATTTTATAAAAATAAAGTAACTGTTTAGGGCGCAAAGTAACCCAAAATTTTACACAAATTGTTACAAAGTTTTTTTGAGATTTATGCCTTTCTTAGCTTAAAAAAAGTGAAATCCAAATCTTCGTGTTTTTTGTGCTTAATGTGGTACAACTTCATGACCTAAATTTTTACAAAATAAAAAAATGTTATGTATAATTTAAGTGAACAGGAAATTTTGCGCCGCGAATCGTTACAACGTTTGCGCGAATTAGGTATTAACC